AATAAATGAAAATAAAAATGAAAAATAAGATAATAGATAATAGATAAATATATGTATGCTTAACGAGAAAAAAGAACGATAAATATATATATATATCCCCAGTTAGTATTAGATTAGTAGAAGACAGTTCTAGCGCGAGTAACCGACATATCTCAAATAGTGTCATTTTTATAGTCCTTTATTGTGGCTACTGCCTATAGTGAAGCGGGAGGCACTATGCCATCGACTGTGTAAGTCCGTAAGTAAGTAGTTCAATTTTCGGAGTACTCGGAGCCAATCAAATCGCATAAAAACCTTCAATCTTAAATCAAACGCAGAACGGAATTTTTTGATCGACAGCGGCGAAAAAAGACGATGTTTTTACACGATGTTTCTCCTATATCTTTTAATTTCGTGAACATGGGCCACAATTGGTTGACTACTTTCGTGATATTTCGTCCGGTTGTCGCTGGACTATCTGTCGAAACATTCGACCTATGTTTTTCCATGGCCATTTATTTCCACTGAGTAAATTCCATCGTAATTTGTTACCCCATTTACGATAATCTTATACTATTTTGCAACAACAAGCCCAAGCTTTCAAGAACTGTGTCAACAGTTTGTTCGTGGAAGATGATTTCGGTATTTTTTTAAGTCCGAGAAGATTACATTGTACTTTATTAGAAATTAACTGAGAATAAGTTTATATTCTATCTTATGTCTAATATGTTTTATTGTGATAATCTTAAGTAAAACTCATCTTATTTTACCCCATATAAATGGCCTTCTTGTCTCTTAAAATTCTTTCACGAAATAGTACAACATTATGACGTCACAGCTTGTTTACATGGGCAAGGATGATAGGAATTTAGGCGAAATTTTCTTTCGTTCGGGATATTTAGTACAACATTTATCTGTTATCACCTTTCCCCATCTAATTAACCATTTTTTATTGTGATTTAATTCGTTTTGCTGCTATTTTTCCCCCTCTGGCGACCATGATCCTTAGCGTTAAAACAATAGATTGTTTTGATGTGACGTCATAGTGTTATAGGTCAAATGACTTGCCTAAATGCGGTCCTTAAAGCATGTGATGATGCGCAGAATAATTATAGAATAGAGACCTTTAGCATCAGGTTTAACGCTAACCCGTGCTCACTGCTATGGATCAGACCCAGAAAGACTTTGTTATGACGTGTTGTTAAAGGTCGAAAATTTGACGGGAAATGCCTGACGTCGAACTGCAGTTTAAGGTTTGCGGTAACTAGCACAAAAAGTCGAGCTAAAGGTCTCTAATGTTGACTATAGGGCCTGTGAATTAAACTGACGGTTGTAATTTCGTTTGACTTTAAGTTCAATCAAGTAAAAGTCCATTCGGAAAACCAAGTTTCTTCAGGAATGTACAGATGGAGGTAAAAGCTTGTCACGAAAATGTGGCTTTGGTTGACATGACGTCCATGGGCATCTTCGAAATCAGTGTAAGTAGTTAACAAATAAAACAGTTTTTTCAGCGCTCCTTTCAGTAATAAAGCATACAGGAAGTGACGTAAACACGAAAGAAGTGTAAGGAGAAGCACGAGACGTAGGCGAGTGCTTCTCACAGTTCTTGAGTGCTTACGGCGCTTCCTAAATGCTTTATAATTACTGAATGGAGAACGGAAAAAGCCGTTTTATTCGTTTTATTATATAGCTACTAAATTTGTTTTCGGTATTGAATTTATTTACGCAAAACGACGGAGACGCAGGATTTAGCAGCACTTCATGCGTGCGGATCGCGCCAGCATCCATTCTTATCTTTTCTTATCCTATCTCAGCCTATCCTAGTGTATATTGTTTCCCTATTTCAGACCACGTGTCATTCTCTTGAGAATAACATGTTTTGTTTGAGTGGTATCCATATTTATATATCTTTTCATGCGCAACTGTTAAACAAAACAATAATGAATAAGAGAGCGACGCATGGTCTGAAATAAAATAGCTTTGCGCCAAAGCTAAAAGGGTTTATTCTAAGTCGTTCTATATATTCAATTTCAACGTATCCCTGCCTTCTCATCTTTTCATTCTTAATTCCCTCTATTATTGTAATACAACTAACGTTAAAGATATCTGTGATCAATACCAACTAGTTGTAGCTTCATTTATTATTTTCTGATTCTCTTTTGAAGACGATTTTTGTTTGTTTTTCCTCAGTCATTCCACGAGAAATCATGTGAACAGTTTCTACAGTTATTATGCGCAAAAGACGTCGACATCCCAGTGGGTGGTGTGGTGCAGACAGCCCTGCTGAATAAGGAAGGTTGTTATGTGATGGAATGTACTGTAGCAAGAACTGACAAAAATAGGTATAAAACAACTTATAAAACCATCCATATTTGGTATTCTTTGTCACTCATGATTCTGCTATAGTTCCCACAGTTATTTTTGTTTTTAACACCAGCCAACCTATGCGTATATCATGTTGATTCTCTCCCTTGCTTCAAGGGTTTTTCCATGTTCTCTGGTTTTCCTCCCTCCGCAAAAATCAACATTCCTAAATTCCAATTGGACCTTAGAAGATAATCTCGATAGGGTTGACCTCTCATATATTCTTTCGCACTATAATACGAATAAAGACGACGCGATGGCGCAATCTCGTTCTTTGATGCGAACACTGATTCGTCACTGCAGCGTCTTCATCTGGACTTAAGAATCTATAAATGACATCCTGATAAAGGTGCAAGCTAAAAAAAGCGCTTTAAAAAAGCGCATGACAAAGTACGTGTTCTTGCCGCGGTATTTAGTTTGTATCGTTTTTGCGCTAATATTTCCTTTTTATCTATTCTTTCTTTTGTCATAACTCGTTATTGAGTCGATCAATGAGGTGACGTAGTCTAATGGTACGCGCCTAATTTTCTTCCAACACTTATCTTTATGACATCGACTGTCGACTTTCTTTTGTCGAAAAATTAAGGAGTAGGTGGTCAAAATTGCATGTAACACACCTTAAAAACGGCCATGTCTCTTAAAGTTGATCTGAGTTTGCGCGTCGTTTAGATGTTTGTAAATTTTGTTTTGTGTAATGCATATCTTCATTTGTTTCGCTCTCCTTTGGTATTTAGCGAATAATCTTTACAATTTCAAACATTATGGCTGAAGTAGAGAAAACATTACAGAGGAGAAAAACACCCAAAAGTTTTCACGATGCAAGAACATTGTATTGACGTTCTGTACGACGTACTGCGCGCTTTCAAAAACAGGCTCTATATTGCCATTCTAATGCCTCCCTATTTTCCCCAGTTACCTCATAATCATCCCAACTGCCTTCACCCAGGCTGCGCATTTCTGGATCTCACGGCACATCCCTAAAAACTCCACGTTAACATTAAGAGATGTGCAGTCCTCTTACGTCGTTCTTGGAGTCCTGGGGCCGAAGTCGGATCAACTGCTCCAGAGTCTGACCAGAACACCTCTCAACAAGGAAGACTACCCTATCAACACCTTTAAGGTGAGTCTTGGGGAAATCAGCTCGAGTCGTCGTGGTTAATTCTGGGTCTTGTGGGCTAAACTGACCAATTGAATCTAATGCTCTTGACAGACACTAGAAGTGGTATACGCAACTGATGCCAAGGCTTTAAGAAGAACAAATGTTGGTGATCTGGAAAAAGGTTGGCAGCTATTCATCCCTACACAGGTAAGATTTTGAGATTATGACTTCGACTTTTAAATCCCATTCTAGTCGCTATGGACGCCGTTTTGCACCATCACGTGATGACAGCCATTCCAGGAGGATGGCACAATTGAATCTGATCTAACTTGTTGTTCGCCTCCTGTCATGGCTGCCATTACGTGATAGTGCGAAACCTCTATCGTCACCCAAAGCAGCTTGGACGTAGGCACTCGAGATGGCGTAGGCTTTATTCGCGCCCTTGACTCAACCGTACAATTCCATTTTAGGCTTGCAACATATGCATAAGCATTAGCAGTATATACATCTATTTCAAAAAACGTTGAAGGAGCGAACGGCAAATGGCGATCGGTGATTGGCGATTACACGACCGAAAGGCACAGTGGGCATGCATCTAAACACGAATAACCCATTAGGCGTTTTAAATTATTTGGCATTAACTATATTTGAACACTAAATATCTCAACAACAACATCTGTGTTGCTGACAAGAATAATGATAACAAATACAAGTCATTTCAGCCAATCTTGCATCTTGGAATAACCTATCGCTTATCGCCTATCGCTTATTACCTATCGCCGTTCGCCCTTTCAACCTTTTTTGAAATAGTTATATATGGAAGCAGCAGTTGTCATTTCTTGATTTCACCTTATAAATATTGATGCGCTAGGATACTTCATGGTGCTGCTCCAAGTGTGAACCAATGACCCCTCACTTTCTTATACACGCGCACTACCCGACTACACTGATTTAGCATTCTATGCGTGCAACTCTCATCTCACGTGTTATTTCTTACTGCGAGAGGAAAACCGGAGAACCGACAAGGGAGAAAAAAACTATTCATATTTAGTAAAAATACACAGGTGATTATTGAAAATCTCTCGCGCTGATTTGTCGAGAAACTCACACGATAATCACCTCCAGTGATAATCCAAAATGGCGGCCAGCTGCTTCGTTGCTGTTACTGGAAAAAAATGTCTTTTATCTCCTTTTTTTTTTCTTTTTTTTTTAAACAAATTACCTTGTATTTATACTAAAACAATTATTTGCCTCAGCCTCAGTGAATATTGGAGAATATTTACCTCGCCGCTCGAAGACTCGCGTCTCGGTAGATATTCCCCGATATTCACTTCGCCTTCGGCGAATAATCGTTAAGTAATCAAACCAGAAACCTAACCGAACGATAACAAAGAATGCGCAACGAAAATGGTAAAAAAATAATTTTAATAGTGAATGTTTTTATATATTTTTATTCCTAATAGTTCGCGCATGGTCTGTATGATCATATGATGACCGCTGGAAAGCCATTCGGCATCACCAACGCAGGATGCTACTGTGTCGATTCTCTTCGTATCGAGAAAGGATACCCACGAATGGGGATTGAATTAACATCATTTGTCACTCCATACGAAGCCGGCCTGGAGAACAGAATTGACCTTCAAAAGGTTAGAATTTTCTACTATTTTAGTCAACGTTATCTGTCTTATTTGGGACCCAAGCTAGTCAATTGTTAGGCATAATACTGCAACTAGAATAGATCTTTTATAGCATCAAAATGAACTTTCATATGTGCTGGCTAGTCAGAGATGTTTCCTTTATTTCGTCGACTTGAAAATAGAATTTAGGTCTTTCTAAACAAATTTCCCTGCTTTCTGGTTGGCTGGCGTGTATAAAAAATGTAAAATGCAGACTAGTCGGGCGTTGCACTGTTAGTGTGACGTCATTCGTATTACAGAAATACTTCCGGGTGCAATATGAAAAGCGTTTATTGTAATGTTCATCAAAATAGAATTTGCTGTTGAAAAGGTTTGCATTAGAGTCGTATTTTAGCGGGTTTAGCATCTGGACCCGGGAATACGTCACGACTTAAAAGTTAAAAGAGTAAACTAGAATATATTGAAGTCTCAAACCATTAAACAAATACACTTTTTTTTACACAGGAAACCGATTTTATTGGCAAGGAAGCGCTGCAGCGCCTAGAAGGAAAGCCACTTAACAAACGGCTGATATTCATGGCTTTGGAAGAACACGACAGCAACAACATTCCCTGGGGAGGAGAACCAGTTTTCCGGAATGGCAAAATCGTAGGGTCAGTTTCGTCCGCGTCTCTCAGCTTCGTGCTCAACAAACCGGTGTGTATGGGGTACGTAAAGAATACAGAAGAACCTATCACCGATGAATACATCAGGAACGGTAACTTTGAAGTGGATGTTGCTGGTCAGCGGTTCCCCGTGAAGGCTGCCTTGCATAGATTCAAAGAGCAGTCGACGGAAAATTTTCTCAATAAGGTTTTTATATGAAGTATGACGCGACGTTAGACAATGGTGGTGAGAACGTAATGCGCATGCGCATGTTCGGAAATAGGGCGAGAATAGCTGAGCATGCGCAATTCTAGATCTTGGAGTGTAACAAAGTGACCGAAAAATCCCTTGGCATATAAATAACAATGAAACAGACGCCATATTGGTGGATCTAACAAGAGAGGCTTAATGAGGAACGATTTGTTATTGTCAACCAACATGGCGGCTATGACGTAACATGCACGCCAAGAATATGGAAAATGAAAATTTGTGCGTTTTTAATACCTTAAACCAATGTTTCCTCTAAATTCGATAAACATTATAGGTTCTGGTCACGTTTAATAACCATATAACGCACGATGAACAGAAGTTGTTCAAACGGAAGCCAGACCATATTTCAATGTATGCCGCTATCGCAGAAAATGACATTTACGTTGATAACGCATGCCCATGCGCAATACGTTGTCTCGCCACTGGCGAAAAGTATAGGTAAAGGATGCAAAAGGACTTGGAGTCACAACTATTCTTTTATTCTTATTGGATTTATATTTAAACATTAATTCAAATTCGTTATGAAACGAATTTTTTTGAAATGTTTTATTTTTTATGCTTGTGGCAGGCGCTTTTTTGAATGGAATTTGAAAATCCGGCTGAGTTTTTGGAACAAAACATATATTTAATAATTTAAAAGATGAAAATTGTAAAGTAAATGAAATTAAGGCAATTGCCTTAACTGCAGCCCAAGAGAATCTTTGATCGCTTAATATTCTTGACGTACCTTTTCCATAGAGGACCCCCAAATAGCAAACAGCATGATTTTACATCAAAAATGGATGCACCAAACAGAGTGTTTCACGGCATTCATGCTCATATTTTTGCATCATTTTAAATTTCCCAAAAGAGAAATGATAATGATGATGATGATAATAATGATAAGGATGATGATGACGATAGTAATATTTTTATTATTCCTAACGCGCAAATCAGCATGTTCACATGCATATGATCAAGTGCGAGCTCAAATTTAATTTTGACGACGCTAGAGTGAATCGAATTTGACGCCTAATACTAGAATCGCCTGGAAGCCCAAGAGCTAAAAAACTCCCAATTACGCATCATTGATAATTTATTAAAATTTCATACACCAGGTTTGGGCGCTGGGGCCTGCTGCATCTTATTTACCATGCAGTCTTCCTCGCATCGCAAAACCACAGCGATCCACTGCGTGATAATGAAGCTAAGCAGCTAATATTTAATTTTTTATCTTAATTTATACTTTCGTTCTATTTATTATAATTAAGGGCTAGAGATTAATGACTCTCATGAATGAATCTTAATGTAAAGTAATTTGTTGGATAATAAGATGAATAATTGATAAGTTTTGTAAAAAAAACAATAATAATTTGTTAAAGCGGGAAATTGGAATAAAAACATCAAGAGTTTTACAATATTACGTTCTGGTTTCTTTTCCGTTTCATTTTCCTTTTTCCCGTTTTGTTTTTTCGTTTGTTTGTTTGTTGCTGTTGTTGTCGTTGTTGGTTGTTTTTTTCTTGTTTGTATGTCCCTGTTTTTCCTTAATTTGTGTGTTTGTTTCGCTTCTACCGTGTCCCAATCCGTCGCAATCTGATTGGTTACATATAACTGCGTTAAAAATGCAAAGAAACACGTCATCGTCAAATCAAATTATTTCTTTGTTTGATTCATATCAATATTTAAAAAATATTATATAGTTAGGATAGTACGCGCGCGCTGATTGGTCGAAAACTGCTTTATTTGTGATGCATGAATGGAGCACAATGCTGACGCCTTCGGCTCGTGCAAAGTGCTGCTAGATCCTGCGACCGTCTTTCATTTTCTTTCATTTTGCAAAAATAAAGTCAATACCAAAAACCGAAAAAAACCCCCATTATTTGAAAAGACCATTTATTTGTTAATTTGAGAGATAACGCGCTCGCTGATTGGCTGACTGTCTCTGTGCTGTGATATAAACACTTTGAGAGCGTAAAGAACTCGAGTAGCAAGACAAACACTTGGCCATGCCTCGTTTTCCTAAGCTTGCTTCTCTCGGACTCTACAGCTTCCAGCGTGTTTATATCACAGTACAGAGACATGCGCGCGTGTTTTAAAATCCTTAATGATGCATGCGCATTGAACAAAGAAATATTGCTAAAGGGAAATACACATAGAAAATGCACTTTAATATATCGTTATCGGCAATAATGCTTGCGTCTCATAAAGAATTCTACAGCCATTTTTAATTTTTTAATGTACGACTAAACCTAAATCAGAATTTTCAGTAAGAAATGCTTGCATATACATGGGTGGCAACATGTAAACGCCTAACTGCCCGGCCGGCGGCATTATAGCAATGCGCATGCGCATTGAGATAGGACAGTCGGCCATTTTGTATTTTACTACCGGTAACTGGATACAAACTAATAACGATGCTTTTTGTCTGATTTTATCCAGAAGTTTCTTATTATAATCTTTAAGGTGAGTAGAAGATGCATGCCTTTAGATATCCAAGCAGAATATCGGCTTATATATGAAGAAAGCTTTTCACCACACGCTTATTTACTAAAAACAGAATACACAAGGTGAAAGATTTCAAAGATGGGCACACTCACATTGAATAGTAAATATCTTCATGATTATTCTGCTTAAAATTTGGCAGACACTTATACATGCCTAGTATAATGTTTAGAAAGTTTCCTAGCAAACCAGAAGTTCAAACAGCGATCATGCAATTCTAATATTTCACATATTTTTAAGCACGGATATTTTTGAGGCCTCTGTCCACATTTGAGCGTGACGATTTTAGATCCAACGCTTGGTATGATTGTCCAAAAAAAAACTTTCTTAAGCTAGAATCTGATTTTCAATTGGTAGTTCAATTTGGAGCATAAAATTTTAAAGTATATTGAGCTGTGTAATAGTTTCTATGGTAACAAAAACTAAATGTTACCAAGCCTTTTCGGCTTTGGCTTAATATTGCACGTTCCAGACCACTTTTCCCCCCTAAATGTACCTGATCGATTATTGTCGTACCGTCGATTGCATTTACCTGTTAACTTATGTACAAAAAAACTGAACAATCGACGGTAAATAAAGTAGTATTGGTCAAGGGAATGAATGTGACGTGATTTGAAATGGGAAAATCATTTGTCCAATAAAGAGCTTTTACCTTTAGACAACAAGCCAATAGCACAGTGAACGTTTTTTATGAATAAGTTTATCCTCTAATAAGGCCATTCTCCATTCATCGCTGAGAGCACTAGCAGCACTAGAAGCTATCGAGTACTCGTTTACTCGTTGTTTAATCTCCAATTCTCGTGACTGGATGCATGGCCAATACTCCAGTCTCGAGTTCTCTGTTGCTCAGGGTTAGCCTCGTTTTGTGCAGAATATTCACGTGTTTCGTTAAAGGTCCGTGGAATTTCAATGGTTTGTGTTTGTATTGTTTATTTGCGCATTCTTTACTTTACCGTTGGTATTTGTGAATATTTAGACACTGATACGAGGCGAACCCTGAGTAAATGAGTCTGCAATCAAGAGACACAGTGGTAATTTGGAACTCAAAAATGGTCTATTTCAATAAGCGTTTTCACATTTTCTTTGCTCCAGTCCGCCTTCTTGCATGCTGAGTACTGCTTTATCGTGATTGGTTTAAATTGAGCGCTTACTCGCTGCGAGCAAAATTGAGTTTAAAATTTTCAACTCGTTTTGCGAGTACTCGGTGAGGACACTGGTGAAAAACGCACTGCGCACGCTCGGAGATGGAGTAGCGTAACTAAGGGCAACTTATGTTTTTGATGCCGCTGTTTTGATCGTTTTACAAAATCGCAAAACTTAAGAAAAATGCTGAAAACTTTAGGTTATCCTTTTCGCAATAGCAAGATAATTTCGATTGTGATACACTGCTGATTTATGCAAAAAAACTTTTGTTTATACAAAGCAAAAATCATCTTTGAAAATACCGCGACTCGCGGCCCGACGTCGACATCCAGCATGGCTAATTTGCAGATAATCACATGGTCGAATTCTATGTGAAGAAATTCAAAAATATCTGTAAAATTCCAAAACGAATATTTAAAAAATAGCCCTGTCGGTTAAAATGAAACCTACCCTTAGATGTGATCAATTGTTATTGTCCGCCATTTTGTTTTTTCTCCCAACGCATGCGCAGTGCGTTTTTCATCAGTGTCCTCGGTGAGAGGAAAAAAGTCCTCGCTGACTTGCCGCGCGTGCTTTCAGCGATGAGTGGAGAATGGACTTTAGCCTTAAAGGGCGTGTTAATTACGTTTGTCAACGTTAAGGCCGAATTTAAGCGCTATAAGACTAAAGTCAAATGTCGAACTTCACATGAGCCAAACCTAATGGCATCAAAGAAGACCGCCTTGTTATCCATTGTTTTAATTAGGTTGGGCTCATGTGAAGTTGGACGTTTGACCTGAGCCTTAGAGTTTTCACCGACTATCTGCAACAGTCTACAGCGCTAAATGAAACGATTGTGTTCTGGCACATCATATCTAGGTCCGTGCACTTGTGCCTGACGCCCCTGGGCGCACAGTAGATATCAGTCATTCCGAGGTGGAGGGAAAAAATTGGGTCGAGTTGGTATTGCAGTGCATTGTGGGACTGTTTTAGGGACAAAACAGGCGCCATTTTGGAAATGTGTCCTCCAAAACAGTCCCACGTTGCACTGCAAGCTTTTTTGGCATTGAATGTTAATGTACGAGAATGGTTATCTGCAGGTGGATTCACTCTTTCATTTAAAAAAAACGATTAAAAATAGTACGTTAATTAATACCAATGATTTAGAATTTATTCGCTGGTTGACATTTAGAAAGCCCACAAGTTCATTATTAAAATGACAATGGCGGGGAAAAGTTTTGACAGGCAGACAAGATTTCAAAACGATATATTTTCTAAAATCTTTATCGTGAAAGTGTCAAAAATACGCGTCACTGTAAAATATTAAACCTATAGCATAACGAGAAATCATAAGTTTCTAAAAGAGACAATGAACTTGGTTTCTGATGTTCACGCAACATCAAATTTATTGTCATCTAATGGCTCATGATCATTTCTCAATCTTCTTGTCTGCTCAAATTAAATAATCTTTGGCTTTCGCGATGATGGAACCCTAGGCCTATTTTAATATTCGTATCACAGGTTGAAAAAAACAATTGCGCCAGTGAACATCACTTCGTTTTATATGACAAACCGCAAATATATCTGAAAAACAGCAATTTAGGAAGAACATTTTATACGCTCAAATACGTAAGTGAGACTCGTGTTTCGCTTTGCAGAGATGTCAGCCGATTTTTGGCCGTACTTAAACAAATGACATATTAGCAGGGTTGCTGTTTCAGTTTCCTGTGTAGTCAGGAAATGATCTTCGTTTCTCTTTTGTCTGATAAAGTAGTGGAGAAAGGAACGAGGGTGACAGATGCACCTTCCCCTCCCCTGAATCAGTCATGTTTTTGTTTCATTAACTTTTATTGACGCGAAACATCGAAAATATAAGACAAATTCCATGGCGGCATAACGGAAAATTCCTGTACGATGTGACTGCACTGGTGCATGATTCTCTGTATTAAGTCAGTCCTGTGGATTGAGTGAAAAATTTCGCGCCGAAACGCGCACGCTCACGCACCTTACTTTCCCCCTCTGCCGAGCGCTCTCACAACTCTACTGTTATGATATTCCTTTGTTGTTTTCTTCATTTGTAGGTTATTCGCTGGATGTAAAATCTATTGAAATCAGTTTTAAGGTAAATTTAGTTAACGTGGGCCGGCTTAACTACCAGCGAGGTAGGGGCGATAGAGGGAGGGGTACTTCCTATCCCCTGTAAAGAAAGGAATTAAAAGAAACGTACCAACGAATATATCACGTGATTTCCAAATGGCTATTTTAGATAGCATCAAATATTCCGATTTATTATATAATTACCAATGGAATATCTATTTTTCTCTATTTCGAAAAATTGATATCTTCACACGTGAAAATAACATGTTATTTTCATGTGTGAAAATAACACCATTGCGATGGCTATTCAAAAATACACGGAAAGAATTGCCTGAAAAAGCCAAAACATACTTCATTGATAATTATATAATAAACAGAATATTACATGGGCGCTTGGAGATACGCAATTTATCTTCTCGTGTTGAAAATCTCACACTCGTTCGCTACRCTCACTCGTGAGAGATCTTTTCAACGCTCGAAGATAAATTCCGTATCTCCGCGCGCCCATGTAATATCCTCTATTTATCACATCTTTATCGTTCGATCGGAGAGCCATTTTGTCTGGGAAAGGTGCCAGACTTTTGCTCGCTATTCATGAAATAATGAGTTCATTTTTTGTTTCATTCTAACAGCATGTTTTTCTTGAACAAAAATGATTTGTTTTTACAAATTGAAAGCGGAAGAAACTTTAGAGTTATTTTATGATGCAAAGCCTGAAGCGACGATTTAATCATGGGAAACGACCAACCCGTTTTTGTCATGACCAAGAGCAAAATCAGTGATAGGCTAAGATATCTCATAAGTTAATTAGTAAAAAATGACTGACTAACTTCTCAAGTATTCTTTCACAATATCGGCATCGGTGCTGGACATTTTCCGAGTTTATTCTATTCTTCACAGTATCTTATTTGTAATTTCCTTATTTTCATTTACAAGACAAGTTACGAAAAACTAGGGGGTTTCCATGAAGATTTTATTTTGTTTTTATCGTCGGTTTTTCTTCGAAAGCTGTCCGTTTCTTCGTTGTTTTTCGTTTTTCGGATTCATCTTCCTTTATTTGCATTGCAGGTTAAGTTTTTGTTTTTTTAGGGATCGATTTTTAGTTTTAAGAAAGAAAGAAAGAAAGAAAGAAAATCAAACAAACAAACAAACAAACAAACAAAGAGATGGAGTAGGAAAGAAAGAAAGGGCGAAAAAAAGATAGAAGGAAGGGAGGGAAAAAGAAAACAGAAGAAAAAAGGAAAGAAAAATTCAAAGAAAAAAAGAGAAAGATAATTAACGACAAAACGGAAGGGAGGAAAAAAAGGAAAGAAGAAGCAGAAAAAAAAAAAAAAAAAACAGCGAAAGAAGAAAGAAAAATGTGGGGAATAAAAGGGAAAAACACCTTAAAAAATATAGAAGCCATCCTTGGATATGGTTTGAATCTATTGACGATCGATTTGGCGATCAAAAATTATTTATTCCTAGTTATTCAGGCTTTTAAAAAGCCCGTCTCTAAAGAGACCAAAATAATTAGAAAACAAAAGTTTCCTAAGAACTGTAGAGATTAATTGGCCTTAATAAGGAAAACGACCAGAGAATTACTCTACACTATAGGGAGTTTTTTAGTTAAAAATATATATACTAATAAAATCAACTTTTCATTTGCATTGAGAAATAAAATATTCAAATCTATGTGGAATTTATGATAAATAACAAATTTTGTTTACCACGATAACCTCAAGATAAAAAAGCAATTTTGTTTGCTTCGAAGTTTAGTCACGACATGAAACCACGTTGATAATCTTGGTTTTCGGATAGCTTTCTGTACACGTACTTCCCTCTACGTTGTCAAGACTGTCATCATCTGTAAATGCAGGATTGTCCATAGAGTATTTAATTTTGTCCTCAAAATTCGCGTAGGAAACAGACTTTATTTGATCCTTACTTTGTGTGAGTTCTTTGCTTTGTTTTGGAGGGTAGCTTTGTCTTCTCAATGATTTACGAAACGAGCTAAAAGTAAATGTTTTGAACGAAAATGTTTGTCTGGTAGCAGGTGAATCTTCACTCGAACTAGCAGTTGTCGTCTTGTCGTTCGCCATTTCACATGGTTCTTTTTCTTCCTTTAACTCATTTTCGCTTTCCTTGCACGTCCTTTCAGAGTTGGTCGTCATTTCTTCTGGAATAACAGATTCCTCTGAAGCTATTGACCTATTGTTTTCATCGATAATTAGTTTTGAACCCCTCAGTTCCACATCCTCGGCGGAGGCTGCACGAGAACAATCCTTAGACACTTCGTCTTCCCCACTCGCTTCCTTTCCATCAGACATTTCTGGAGCCCTCTCCTCGTTAATGTTCTCCCTTCTATGGCTCTTTCTTTTATCCTTACCATTGCCTATCTCATTAGGTTCTTTGTCTTGATAACAACATCGCATATTGATGTGATTTGGCGGTAATTCAGGCGATCTTCCACTACACGCTAAATGAATCATGTGAATCCATCGATGCCTTTGAAGATTTGAATCACACTTGAAATAATAATTTCCCTCACTTGTAGTCAGTCGAAATCGAAAGCTGTAATTCCTTCGTTTCAGGAGAGTACATCTTGAACACGAAGAAAGCCATATGATTTCGCAGAAGTCGAGTTCCTTACAGTCTTTGGAAACGTACAAGTAGATCTTCTCGCCGATCAATCTTGCCCAAAATTGTACCCAACGGTCTTTTAACTCTCGTTTCTTGATTAAATCGTCGTAGTAAACTTCCCCCATGGCATTCTTGACCGTGTATTCGGTTATTCAAGCAACGCATTTATAATTGAAGTCCAGTTTGTCTCGAGTAAAACAAGTAAATGTGATATCCAGCTAAGAGTTCGTCTGATATAGTACAAGGTGCTTGCGTTACGTCATGTCACGGTGCGTTATGTTTCACTTTGATCGATAAATAATTAATCACGATATATACATTGAGTGCTACCAGTTTCAAAAGGCTATAAATAATTTAACCAATCCGTCGATTATACAATAAGAATAAATTCTAAAAATATTACTTGACTTCAGCTTCAGCTTTCCCCTTCGATTTCGATATATTATTATTGGTGGGCTACCTGTGGTAGTTAAATCGAGACTCCATCTTTAGACGGCGTTATTCTGTTGGCATCTCTTTATTTCTTTATTCCCTTCCTTTCCTTCCACATTATTAAGTAAACCAAACACTACCCCCCCCCCCCCCTCCACTGGCACTCACATAACAAAATGTTGATAAACTGGTAGTTAATCTTTAATTTCTATATTTAGAATAGATATTTTAAATGATTAGTTCTTTCGCTTCTCATTTCTGTGTCTGTTTTTTTCCTTTCCTTGCCACAGGAAGCCACCATTAAATTATACCTTAAATCTTTGGAAATTTTAAAAGAAAATGGTCTGGAAATGAATCTGATGAACTGGACAGTGGTGACCTACATAACCAAGCGATGCAAGAGTATGTTAGAGTAAGGTAAGGAATAGAATAGAAATTCGAATGAAACTAAAAACAAGCGAATAAGAAGGAAACTTGAACACCGTGTACAAAAAAGTTCGTAACCATTCTTGGAGTGCATGTTACGTCATAACCGCCATCTTGGTTCACTATTCTTCGTTTGTACATGACGTCATAGCCGCCATCTTGGTTCACTATTCTTCGTTTATACATGATGTCATAGCCGCCATCTTGGTTCACTATTCTTCGTTTATACATGATGTCATAGCCGCCATCTTGGTTGAATTTAACAAAAGAATTGTCAATAAAGTCTTTTGTAATATCAACCAACATGGCCGCCGTGTCTTTTGTTATTTCATTCCCTTGCGAATGATTGAAAACCAGCAATACAAAGCATTCATCATTAAGTATCTCATGTTGGATCAAGCAAGATGGCGGCTGTTTCATTATTATTTATATCTCGAGGGATTTTTTCGGTCACGTGATTGCACTCCAAGAATCCAAGATCTGACCACTGGCCTCGTTTTTATGTTCATCGACACCAGTCTCGCGCATCTTTCATAGATATAAATATGGAGGGTAGTGTAAGTATTTTTTTTCCTTAAGCACATAAAAGTACAAAGGACAAACAAAAAATGGCAATTTTAATTTTAAGAATCTAGACCCAATGGCCCTATAAAGATGTAAAAATTACAAGATATCATAAGCATTAGTTATTGATATTACATATTATATAGTTAGGATAATACGTGCGCACTGATTGGTCAAAAACTGCGTTTTATTTGTGAACGGAGCACAGTGCTGACGCCAACTGCGCGCGCGAAGTGCTCAGCTAGATTCTGCGACCATATTTCTTAGTTTCGCGTAAATGAATTCAGTACCAAAATAAAATTAGTAACTATATAATAAAACAAATAAAACAGCTTTTTCCTTGCTCCGTTCAGTAATAAAGCACTTAGGAAGCACTCACTACGGCTCGGGCTTCTCCTTACCTTCTTTCGTGCTTACGTCACTTCCTGCGTGCTTTATTACTGAACGGAGCACGGAAAAAACTGTTTTATTTGTTAACTGACTCACTACATATACACAGGACTATTACTCGTATGTGGTGTAATTTTGAGCAGTTATTAGGACATTTAGTTAGTGGTCAAGTTTAATACTCTTTAGCACTGGACCTATACATGCGAACCGCCTATATTAAGCCGACAATTTCTTCACTAACGCGTACGAATCGAGCGCAAAATAACTTTTCAAATTGCGATAACGTCTCGCTTTTACATTATCTTTTGCCCTTTCAGTTACTATTTTTAAGAGTAATTTGTCATGCACTGTTCTTTCCTTGGCATAAAGCGCAAGATGACCTCGTCAAAAAGTCTTTGAGCACACTTTTCTACTCGGGTCAAAAAAACTTAAGAATAAACTTGATTCTGTTTTGCATTAGTATGCATGCGCGTGACTACTCTTTTTTTAAACAAACTATATGAGCTGTATGTACATAGATAGGGGTATATAGATATATCTTAGATCGTATCACGAAAGTAGTTTCCATGAAGGAACTCTATTATCGGTTTAGGAAGTGGCAGTTCGTGTAGTTTGTCGCAGCGAATGTTGCTACGAATAACAAAGCGACATAGAAACTGCAAAGAAGGAACTTTGGTTATCCTCGATACAGGATATAAAAGGCGCACTGGATACCATACATCCTCTAATGTTTTTCTTCTTGAGTAGAACAAAACCCCTTTCTTAGACTTAGCTATTGCTCGTTGAAGAAGTTCGATGACAGAGTCTTTCCCTTCTTCGTTAGCCAAGCTGAATTTCTTATTTCTGCATTGAATTCTTGTGTGACAACAAGAGCCTTTGGATCTAAAACTCACGCTCAGAAGATGGCGACTGTTCGCGCTGTCTCGCACAAGGAAGCTCCCGTCCGGCAAATCTTCTAATTCTTCTTCTGCTTCTTTTGACGACATTGGTCCCCAGTACCAGCTGAAATCGGAGAGATCTTTTAACTCCTGCGCAATGGATTTTAGTGTTTTTTGAGTCCCTGGCAGAATGTGAACTCTTTGCCAATGTAACAGTTGGTATGTCTCTTTAGAATCTTGAAATCGAGTCAGAAACAAACAGGAGGATTGGTTTTCGCACTCACTATCGATACAACTATTAGTATTGGAGGTTTCACCTTCAGTTTCGAGTTGCGGTAATTTGTTTGTCACTGAGAAGCTTTCGATGGATGAAAACTCGATGTTGGAACATAGACTAGGTTGTTCGCTGCTGGTGTCGCCTGAGGAGGAGCTAATTGAATATTCTGAATCACGTCTGTAACGGTCAAAACTTCTTCCAGAATAAGGCGTACCAGAGCAAACATAACTTGCTTCGTACTGCTCCTCAAAATCCTTGGCTTTGGTCTGCGTACAACCCATTTCCATCCACCTCAGCAAGATACCAATTGTTATTTTGGAAACACTTTCTTTGTTAAASCAAACTGAATGTCTTTAATCACAGTTCAAGTAAAAATTTCGTTATTGCTTGGCCGGGAAAAATGTCTTGACGCATACAGTTCTGTTATTTCTGTGTCTAGTTCACGCGTTCGTGTACGTGAGGCTTCTTTCTCTCGTAAGGTACGACTTTTGGGAGCCAGTGTTGACGTTATTCTTTCGTCATTTTCGGTTTTGTTGGACAACTTTCCATTGCCCATTCTTCATTACATTCTAAAACTGAAAGGGATTGTTCCTAAGAATCGAATACAAATATTTTTGTTACAGAAGTAATCTGTATCAACCAAACTATTTTTGCTCCATGATGTTTCAATCACGTTTCTTTTTTCTCGAAGAAAATTTAAAAACTCTTTCATATTTAGTTTCCACAGATTACACTAGAGATTTGGTAATTGAGGTTGGGTCAAGGCGAGAGCACCGCCATGGTGCAACATTGCGCGCAATATTTCAGACAATGTAACTGAAGTAGGATCGTTTTCGACTCTAGTAACGTTGCGTGCACCAAAAMATTTCGCGCAATGTTGCACAGTGTGTACGTAGCTTAAGGAATACAAGGGATAAGATCAAAACAATTGCCCTATTTCACTATGAAGTCACTGCTCATTTGTGTGGGGGATAGAATCGCCAAATCCAATAGAAAATTCAACAAAATTTGATCCTAGCGAAACAGTTTAATCTAAAATGGCCTGGTTTTCAGATAAAATATATGTGTTAATATGTACTAAAAATATTCTGAGCGTTTGTTGGGTATTCTACTTCTCTTCGTGGAATGATACGGGTTTTAGAACAATTTTCGGTGAATTTGCGTCGATTTGACCCCCTCCGACGCCCATGATCCTYTGCGTTTAAACAATAGATTGTTTTGATGTGACGTCATAGTGAAATAGGGCAATTGCCATTCAATGCGACCACATTTAGAGGGGAGGGGTGGGATTTTTAAAATTTTTTACACAAGTGTCTTATAGAAACTAAAATTCAAATACTCCAGTTTCAAGTTCTCTGTGGCTCAGGGTTAACTTCGATTTTGTACAAATTGATAAGCTTTAGTGAAGGTCCGTGAATTTCAAAGTGTTTGTATTGTTGAAGTTGTGCATTCTCTTTACCTTGACGTTTGGTAATTGTGAATAATTATATTAGACACTATTGATTCGAGGCTAACCCTGAGTAAATGAGTCAGTAATCTAGGACCCAGTACATTGGTGATTTGGAATTCGAAAATGATCTATTTCAGAAATTAGTGTGCTGTCTGTTGATCGGATGATCCTGATGATCGTTGATTGGATCATCCCTACGCGCCTAGACCGAAAAGGATAACGGGTAAATTACACAGAACTTGCGTCATCCAAACTGCTCGCCGGTTTAAGTCTTCGCTGTATGCTCGAGGCATGGTTTTAGCAAATTAAATGGGATCGAAAACAGCAAGCTCAAGACGTGTTAGATAACATATGCGGCAGCTAGTAACTGTGAATTAATTATCCCCATGATCCTTTTCGGTCTAGGCGCGTAGGGATGAAGCCGATCAAACGACAACGTTTAGTCAAAGGACTGTATGCAAATTTTTCACTACGGACGCCCAGTATTGAAGAAATAGAAAACGCGCGCGCGTGCTGTGTGCTGTCATAAAGCACGCGGGGGTTGGCAGAACACGAGAGAAGTGTTAGGAGAAGCACGACGCGTAGCGGAGTGCTTCTGGACACTTCTCGAGTGTTCTGCCAATCCCCAAGTGCTTTATGACTGCACACATCACAGCAAGCAAGTTTTTTATTTCTTTTATAAAATACAAATTACAATAAACGTTATTTTAGATAAGAATGACGTAACGGAAATTGCGCGCGTGTGCAATGTGCTTTCATAAAGCACGCGCTCCAAAACAATCAGAACGCGACATTCATAACAGTTATTTTATAACGAGCGTTACAACTGGTCTCTGAGAGGCGGAAGGGGTAGTTACCTGCACGGAATTGGCGACATCCTTAAAACCAATCACAGAGCGCAAGATCAGAGCTTGGCACTGTCACAAGATTACTATCATGTTTGATTGATTTATCTCCAATAGTCCTTTGCGCGCGAGCTATAAATGAACTTCAGTCGCAAGGTCATGAAATGGGGCCTAAGTTCTGGATATTTTTTTCTGCCTTCCCAGTCCATCAAATTCAATTTCTTTGAAGCAAAAATGTAAGAAAATCCCAAGTGCTCTTGTGGTCTTAAGGGTCTCTTATCATAATCAAATCAAGGCTTTTACAAGATTGGTCTAATTTTCCATTTATCATTTTACATTCTCAAAATATCTTCCAAATTATGAACTTTAATCCCGCGACCAGATGGCTAAAGAATTAAAGTTGTGCCTACTTATCTTCATGTATACGTAATTCAGAAATTCGAGAATTCCAAGCACTCGATAGTTGTTATAAGAACACTCGTAATGTAGCTTAAGTCTTTATGAAATCTTTTAATAAGATCCTTGAAGACAATTCGGTCCTTTTAGCAGGGCGTCCGTCAGAATCCATATTCCTCTTATATACTTGACCCACAGGAAATATAAGAGAGCGCTAAGATCCACTGCTAATTCCACTCATGTTTATGCAAGTGTGGATTACAGCTTGCGTTTCGTTTTCGAGCTGCTTGTAAGTTTTAAAAAAATTATTCAAATCCTTCTCTTGTCGTTATCCTTCACATTAATTCATAGATATTGCCTTTGAGTCATCTTCATTTCATTTCATAGATATTGCTAGCACCAACATCATTCCTCATCGTCATCATCATTACTATCATCATCACCATGATAGTGGAAAGTGATTTAGATATATAATATTTCCCATCCATGTAACTCCATCCACTTTTGCGTCATACTTTTTACGTCATATTTACGTCACCCCGCCGTCTTCATGGGAAAAAGGGATGGTCTTTCCTTCGATTTCCTACTATTGAAATTGTAGTATCGCACTTTCAGCAGTTTTGCCACTAGAAAGAAACTTTGCTCAAGTGATATATTAGTAATAAATTAGTTTATATTTCAAGAATGCCGATGATCGTCAAGTTCCACTTTCTTTCATTTCTTTGGGTTTCAAATATCGGGATACTAAACGTTTTGGCAAAAAATGATGGTGTAGCCACGTGATCAGAATCCTCAGTAATGAATAGTGAATAGCAAATTAAAGCGCTTAAAAAGTATCAACATTATTCGTATGATCAAGTGGCAGTTTTTTTTGTTTTTTTTTTTGTTCATTTCCTCACAAATTCCATCTATCATCCAACATAGACTCTTTCTGAGTTGGATAAAAAGATTGCATTGTAGCAAATTAAAGCGTTTAAAAAGTATCAACATTATTCGTATATATCATTTGTGGCAGTTTTTTTTTTTTTATTCCGTTGGATAAAAAGATTGCATTGTGATCCAAGCTTTGGTACAAACAACACCATATAAGGCATGATGAACCAAATATTTTTTGTACTGAAGCTAGACCACAATGAATCAATTTCGCTATTTCTAAGGTCTATGGCGGAGAATGATCATGTGACTAGTTCCCGCACATATAGAATATTTTGTCGTATTACCTGACAGTGACAATAGCGGGCTTAGGATCGATTGACTCGTGCGACCAGTGGTAATGGAGTCATAGCTTCAAGTCTTACTCCAGGAGAAGGAACACCAACGTTCAATTCGGCATGGACTCCTGCGATAGCTCTTCCCCGGCATAGGATATACCTCAGCTTGTCCCTGAACTCCTTGCTGACGGCGCTGTACATTATGGGGTTGAGGCAGCTATTAGCCGTCATCAGTAACCGAGTGAACTCGTGTGCAGGGTAGATAGACGGCAGGGCTTCTGTGTTATCTCGATCGAATATAACCATGGTGAGGATGATAAAATGGGGAATAATGCACAGAGAGTAAACAGCCACAAGACCACTCAACACTTTGATAGTCTTCCTGTTTTGTCTCGTGCGGTGGCTCAGGGTTGTCTGAACACGCTTGCTGTTGCGGTATCTACGCCGTTTGTTTTGTCGGTTCAAGCTGATTGCTATGGCAACGTAACAGACGGTGATACAGCTGAGTGGAAGCACACATCCTGGAACAAGACAGCTGAGGGTGAATGTTACCTGGAAGGCTAATGTACTCGGCCACCAGTTTGGATCGTTCTGACACTTGCCAGTAGAAGTGATGTAGAGCGAATCAATGAATGGTACAAGTGATAGTACGGCGTAGATCCAGATAACGATGATGATTGTCTTGGTGAATCTGATTGGAAATCATTTATAGGTGAGGAAAATGAAGACGGTCGGTCGGTCAGTAAATCGGTCGGTTAGTCGGTCAATCAGTCAATCAATCAGTCGGTCAATCAGTCGCTCAGTCGTTAGGTCGGTCAGTCGATCGATCGATCGATCGTTCGTTCGGTCAGTCGTTTGGTTGTTCAGTCGATCGATCAGTCATTCAGCCAGTTGGCCATTTATTCATTCATTCACTCATTTATTTGCTTCATTACCTTCCATAATCAATTCATTTATCGATTTAACTAAAGCTGATTGTTTGACTAAATTAACTTATTTTTAACTCTTTCTTTTTCTTATTTTCAATTCTTATTTTTAATTTCTCGACAACTCATAAACCAATTATATAAAATAATAAAATAACGGTGAAAAATATAAATGAAATATAATCAAATTAAAAATGAATAAATTAGGACTGATAAAACTGATTCGCAAAACAAGCTAAGATAAGGAACACAATATTAGACTAAATCGTTTGCGTAACACGTACAAAGATCATATCAACCTCTTCCTGTGACAGTCTCTACAAAATAAGAACCGCAAAAAAATACATATTATTTGTACCCACTATTTAAATGGACATCTAACGAAAATTATTTTAGTTTTCTGATAAAAATTAAGATACATATAGCTAGAGAGATGCCGTCCCCTTCTCTCTTTCTCTCTCTCTCTCTCTCTCTCTGTAATCAAACTAGCAACCAAGCTGCTCCTACGTATTGTCAATATTTGACTTCGCGATATGAATTGTAATCATTTTGGAGTAAAAAATGCGTCTTTTCATTCATTCATTCATTCACTCATCCATCCATCC